TAATCCGGGTTATTTGAATTTATAATCCGGGTAAGCCATATAACATCCAGATTTTTGCTTTGAAAGCCAAAACAGATATGGTGGATTGTTATCTGGCTTGATATTCTGGATTATATGGCAGTGGGGACTCATATAATCCAATTCGCTGCGGATAATCCGGGTTATCTGCCTTGATAATCCGGGTTATCTGCCCTGGTGAGTAGGCCTCCTTCCGCCCCATTGTCTTGCAGCACCATTGCCTTCCACTTGGGGCCTGGTTCCCAGAGCGAAGCCTGGCTCGCGTGTTTCCTCCTCCCGGGCCTTAAATAGACGAGTGCGGCCTAGCAGCGCGGGCCTCCCCGGCTCTCGCGTGCTTCTCTCCCCGAGGGGAAGACTCACTCGGGTCCCGAGGCCATGGCGGCGGCGGCGGCTTCAGCGGCGATGGGAAGGTGGCTGGGCCTCTCTGCGTCCGTTGAAGGCGGCGGCTCTCTCGCTCTCTCTCTCGCTCTCTCCGTCGCCTCGCGGGATGCTTCCCTCAACGCCGACTCATCGGGAGTGACGCTCCGCCCGGCTTGACTAGGCCGCACTCTGCCTAGCAACAGGTGGCGCCTCAGCCAATCAGGAAAAATTAAAGGCACCGAGCCGGCCCGGCTGAGCCAATCAGGAGGGGAGTAATTGAAAAAAAGCTCACTCTTTCTCCAAAGAGCCAATCGGAAAAAAGATGCGCCAATACCGGTGAAAATTTAGATAGGAAGTCCCGTCCACGTTCTCTTTCTGCCTAGCTACGCTGCTCTGATTCGTTAGCGTCGCAAGAGCGGCAACGAATAGGAAATGTACAAGTCGCTGATTGACACAGCACTCTACTTATGGAAGGCTTCGAGAGGGACTGCAGATCTGAAGCCGCCGCGTTGATTGACAGGGAAAAAGAGAGGGGGCGGGACTTGGATGCGGAAGTGGTTTCTGGTCTGGGTTTGCTGGGCTTTGCAACGTCATTGAGGAGGAGAAAGTGTCTCTGAGCAAGTGCAGAAGGCACAGGAAGCCTAAACTACCAAAAACAGAGCAGGAAAAGGCTTCTTTTTGGATTATAACTACCAAGCACTGAGCAGATGACTGATACTCAAGAATATTTGCATCAACATGCAAAAGTTTAAAATATATATATATATATATATATATATATATATATATATATATATATATATATATATATATATATATACACATAATATTTAAATGTCATAATGAAAGGGTCTTTAAGCGAAATTTGCAAACACTAAATAAGGGGCTTTGAATGAAATTAACAGCAAAAGAGAGAAATACTCTTTCTCTGACTTAAAAAAGCAATATGGAAGAAAATGTTTTTAAGAAACAAGATACTTCTTACACAGCATGCTTGTGGTTAACTTCAAAGGTTGTTTTTTTTGAAGCGCAGAGTCCGCATGTACAAGAAGGTACTTTCCATCAAAACACCTGGAATATTGTGTCCAATTCTGGGCACCACAATTCAAGAGAGATAGTGACAAGCTGGAATGTGTCCAGAGGAGGGCGACTAAAATGATCAAGGGTCTGGAGAACAAGCCCTATGAGGAGCGGCTTAAGGAGCTGGGCATGTTTAGCCTGAAGAAGAGAAGGCTGAGAGGAGATATGATAGCTATGTATAAATATGTGAGAGGAAGCCACAGGGAGGAGGGAGCAAGCTTGTTTTCTGCTTCCCTGGAGACTAGGACGCAATGGAACAATGGCTTCAAACTACAAGAGAGGAGATTCCATCTGAACATGACGGAAGAACTTCCTGACTGTGAGAGCCGTTCAGCAGTGGAACTCTCTGCCCCGGAGTGTGGTGGAGGCTCCTTCTTTGGAAGCTTTTAAACAGAGGCTGGATGGCCATCTGTCAGGGGTGATTTGAATGCAATATTCCTGCTTCTTGGCAGAATGGGGTTGGATGGGATGGCCCAGGAGGTCTCTTCCAACTCTTTGATTCTATGATTCTATGAAAAGGTCAGAATTATTATTCACAAAAGGTGTTTTTCCCCATGCTTTTTGTTTGTAATGGGCTATAAAGTATGCAGATTTCAAGGGAAGAGCACAGCAGTCACTTGAAGGATAGCATCTGGGCTTGCCTCAGGGGAGCGTGCTCGCTCCATCCATGTTCAACATCTACACAAATGACCAGCCACTGCCAGAAGGGACAGAGAGTTTCATCTATGCTGATGATCGTGCCATTACTGCTCAAGCAGGGAGCTTTGAGATGGTAGAACAGAAGCTCTCCGAAGCTCTAGGTGCCCTTACTGCCTATTACAGGGAAAACCAGCTGATCCCCAACCCATCTAAAACACAGACATGTGCCTTTCACCTTAAGAACAGACAAGCATCCCGAGCTCTGAGGATTATTACCTGGGAAGGAATCCCACTGGAGCATTGCAGCGCACCCAAGTACCTAGGAGTCACCCTGGACTGTGCTCTGACCTACAAGAAGCAGTGACTGAACATCAAGCAAAAAGTGGGTGCTAGAAACAATATCATACGAAAGCTGACTGGCACAACCTGGGGATCACAACCAGATACAGTGAAGACATCTGCCCTTGCGCTATGCTACTCTGCTGCTGAGTATGCAAGCCCAGTGTAGAACACATCTCACCACGCTAAAACAGTGGATGTGGCTCTTAATGAGACATGCCGCAATATCACGGGGTGTCTGCGCCCTACACCCCTGGAGAAATTACACTGCTTAGCCGGTATTGCACCACCTGACATCCGACGGGAAGTAGCAGCCAATAGTGTTGCTTGTTGTTTACTCTCTGTTGTTTCAACAGAAAGGAGGAAACCATGAAAATGAACAAAATTGGCTACCAATATTAAAAAAAACTCTAAAATTACAACAGCAAAACAACAGAGAGTAAACAATCAGGCACATCTAATCACCTCTCAACAAAAGATTACCCCAGGCACTACCAAGCCATCAAATGCTAATTAAGGTGGTCAGTTGAAACATTCACACCTAGCTCCGGCAGACAAGAGTCCTTTGTCCCACCCTGGTCATTCCACAGATATATAAACCTTTTTTCCTAGTTCCAACAGACTTCACTACCTCTGAGGATGCTTGCCATAGATGCAGGCGAAACGTCAGGAGAGAATGCCTCTAGAACATGGCCATATAACCCGGAAAAACCTGGAAACAACCCTATTGTTGTTGTTGTTGTATTGTATTGTCGAAGACTTTCATGGCCGGAATCACTGGGTTGTTGTAGGTTTTTTCGGGCTATATGGCCATGTTCTAGAGGCATTCTCTCCTGACGTTTCACCTGCATCTATGGCAAGCATCCTCAGAGGTAGTGAGGTCTGTTGGAACTAGGAAAAAGGGTTTATATATTTGTGGAATGACCAGGGTGGGACAAAGGGCTCTTGTCTGCTGGAGCTAGGTGTGAATGTTTCAACTGACCACCTTGATTAGCATATGGCCTGGCTGTGCCTGGGGGAATCTTTTGTTGAGAGGTGATTAGATGTGCCTGATTGTTTACTCTCTGTAGTTTTGCTTGTTGTTTACTCTCTGTTGTTTCAACAGAAAGAAGAATACCATGAAAATGAACAAAATCTGGCTACCAATATTAAAAAACTCTAAAATTACAGAGACTGTCTACAGACATCACATGCAACTCTTGGAACGATTCCCTCAGCGCTGCCTCCAGAAAATCCTGCAAATCTCTTGGGAAGACAAGCAGCGTGCTGGAAGAAGCTGGAAGAAGCAAAGACTACCAGCATTGAAGCAATGGTCCTCTGCCATCAACTCCGCTGGACCGGTCATGTCAAGACTTGGCTGTTTGGTTGTGCATTTAAGTAATCAGATCTAATTTGCCAAATAGTCACTGTTGCATGTTTTTATGTTGAATGTTTTTATATTGTGTAAATGCTATTTTAGATTGTAAGTCGCTCGGAGCACCTGGGTGGAGAGCGACTAATTAAGAAATGAAGTGAAGTGAAGTGAACCCCCGTCTTCCAAAGCAGTTACTGTACTCCAAACTCAAGAACAGAAAACGGAATGTTGTTGGACAGGAAAAGAGATTGAAAGATGGGCTCAAAGCCACCCTCAAAAACTCTGGCATAGACACTGAGAACTGGGAAGCCCTGGCCCTTGAGCGCTCCAGCTGGAGGTCAGCTGTGACCAGCAGTGCTGCAGAATTCGAGGAGGCACGAGTGGAGGGTGAAAGAGAGAAATGTGCCAAGAGGAAGGTGTGTCAAGCCAACCCCGACCGAGACAGCCTTCCACCTGGAAACTGATGCCCTCACTGTGGGAGAAGATGCGGATCAAGAATAGGGCTCCACAGTCACCTACGGACCCACCAGAATATTGATCCTGGAAGACTATCCCTACTCGGCCAACGAGGGATGGCCGAAGTAAGTAAGTAAGTAAGTAAGTAAGTAAGTAAGTAAGTAAGGGAGCCATACAATTGCTTGATCTCTGCATTTCTCTTGTCAGATAATGCAGAGGTAAACATTACACAAGGCAAGCTCTGAGAATCAAGATACACTCTGGTAAAAGGGAGAAAGTCAAGCAAGGACTTGAAAAGCATATTAATGTTCTGCATGCTCATTGGAAAAAAATAACCTCTGATACATTTTCCCAAAGGACAATTAAGTTAAAAGGAAATCTCTACCCCATCATCCCTCTTATTTTACGGCATCTCCAATCCTCTAGAGAGCGTAATTTATTGCTTATGAGAATCCTACCCACTGCGTTGCACAAAAAAGGTGAGGGGAGCAACCAAACATTCAAGTGTTACGTACTTTAGGATAGACATGCAAGGTTGGGCCCTCCAGGTGTTTTGGACTTCAACTCCCACAATTCCTAACAGCTGGAGGGCCCAAGTTTGCCCATGCCTGCTTTAGGAGCTCTATGGGTTTTGTTTTGCATCTGTCTGAATCGGTCATCCAAGAAATTTCTGTGAAATTGAATCATGGAATAGGAAAGAAAGAACAACAGTAGATTTGCCCCACATCCCACAAACCTCCAGACTATACAAAGATATTTTTTAAAGATAATAATTTTCTTATATTGATATTTATTATATACATTTGGTTTCTGCCATTGCACACTACAATTCCCAAAACTGGTAGTCAATCACCCCCAAACCCCACCAGTATTCAAAGTTGGCCAAGGAGAAAAACTCTGGAAAACCCAGTTGTCTGAAAAGAAAACAGGAAGAGAAATGGCACCAATGTTTAGGGTTCCAGACTCTTTCCCTCCAGAAAGCCCTCCAAGTTCCTGGTGAGGGATTCCATCTGAGGAAACGTCATTTTTCTCACGCATGACTGAAGGTACAACGGGAAGGATCTGAAATATAAGAAAGGGGAAGAAATTGAAGTCAGAGGTCCATCATAGAGGTCCACCCCTTGTTGTACCAGCTCCAATTGGCTGCCGATTTGCTACCGGGCTCAATTCAAAGTGCTGGCGTTGGCCTTTAAAGCCCTAAACGGTTCTGGCCCAAGCTACCTATCCGACCGCATCTCTGCCTATGAACCCACCAGGACTTTGAGATCTTCTGGGGAGGCCCTGCTCTCGATCCCGCCTGCATCACAGGCGCGGCTGGCGGGGACGAGAGACAGGGCCTTCTCGGTGGTGGCCCCTCGGCTGTGGAACGCCCTGCCCACGGACATCAGATTGGCTCCCTCATTGATGGTATTCAGGAGAAGAGTGAAGACTTGGTTATTCAAACAGGCGTTTGAATAAAAAGTGCAATGAATTTTAGGAATGGAACTACGACTGACGAGTTTGGATTATGATTCTAGTTATGAGACGCCAATTGATTGATTGTCTATGATTGTTAATTGCTTAACTTGTTTCTGTGTTAATCTGTTTTTAATTACCTGTTGATACCGCATTGAATTTTTGCATTGATTGTTCGCTTTGTTTGTGCTTGACTGTTGTAAACCGCTATGAGTCGCCTTAGGGCTGAGAATGGCGGTATACAAGTGAAGTAAGTAAATAAATAAATAAAATAGCAAACAAAGGCTGAAAGAGAGCATTGCAGGCTGGGAGAGAAGGCATTTTTGGGCTCAGTACATCCAATTACAACGTGTGCTGAAACAAGGCCAGAAGTAAACCCTTCTGGAAGAGAGTGTAAAAACAGGAAGGCATATCCAGGTATTTATGCATTTAATTCTGCAATAAATAAATGTGTTGCTTTCAAACATCTGTCTTAACTAATCTGAAAACCTTGTGTCACCTTGAAAATTAGGGCAAGGGACATGATTTGCACCCTTCTGGATCCTATTATATGCAATCCCAGCTGTCTAAGTATCAATTATTATTATTGTTTATTATTATTATTATTATTATTATTATTATTATTATTATTATTATTATTTGTTCTAGCACAGCTCTCTTCTCGGGCCCTCCTCTCTCTCCCCATCTTATTCTTCCTTCTGGAGGAAAGCAAGAGTCATCGCCATCTTAAAGTCAGGCATATACTGTAATGATCCAAAAAGCTATAGACCAAGCTACAGACCAATCTCCCTGTTGTACCACCTCTACAAAGTTCTGAAGAGACTTATTTTGCATAGAATTATGGAAAAAATAGACCTGTCTGATTCCACAGCAAGCTGGCTTCAGGAAAGGCAAAACCTGCACATCGCAAGTGCTGAACCTGACTCAGCACATAGAAGATGGTTTTGAAAGGCAGCAGATCACAAGAGCTGTCTTCATAGACCTGTCAGCGGCTTATGATACTGTGAACCACCGCCTCCTCCTGAGAAAAATGTATAATATCACAAAGGACAACCACCTCACCCGCCTCATAGGAAACCTGCTACAAAACAGGAGCTTTTTTGTTGAGTCCCAGGGCCAGAGAAGCAGATGGCGGAAACAGAAGAACGGCCTGCCTCAGGGGAGCGTGCTTGCTCCATCCATGTTCAACATCTACACAAATGACCAGCCACTGCCAGAAGGGACAGAGAGCTTCATCTATGCTGATGATCGTGCCATTACCGCTCAAGCAGGGAGCTTTGAGATGGTTGAACAGAAGCTCTCCGAAGCTCTAGGTGCTCTTACTGCCTATTACAGGGAAAACCAGCTGATCCCTAATCCATCTAAAACACAGACATGCGCCTTTCACCTTAAGAACAGACAAGCATCCCGAGCTCTGAGGATTACCTGGGAAGGAATCCCACTGGAGCATTGCAGCACACCCAAATACCTGGGAGTCACTCTGGACCGTGCTCTGACCTACAAGAAGCACTGCCTGAACAACAAGCAAAAAGTGGGTGCTAGAAACAATATCATACGAAAGCTGACTGGCACAACCTGGGGATCACAACCAGATACAGTGAAGACATCTGCCCTTGCACTATGGTACTCTGCTGCTGAGTATGCATGCCCAGTGTGGAACACATCTCACCACGCTAAAACAGTGGATGTGGCTCTTAATGAGACATGCCGCATTATCACGGGGTGTCTGCGCCGTACACCACTGGAGAAATTACACTGTTTAGCCAGTATTGCACCACCTGACATCCGCCGGGAAGTAGCAGCCAATAGTGAAAGGACCAAGGCAGAGACATCTCCAGCTCATCCCTTGTTTGGGTATCAGCCAGCACGTCAACGACTTAAATCTAGAAATAGTTTTCTAAGATCTACAGAGACACTCGCTGGAACACCTCAGCAAGCGAGAGTCCAAAAGTGGCAGGCTCAAACCCAGAGCCTCAATCAATGGCTGATACCCAATGAGAGACTCCCCCCTGGGCACACAGAAGACTGGGCGACTTGGAAGGCGCTGAACAGACTGCGCTCTGGCCCCACGAGATGCAGAGCCAACCTCAAGAAATGGGGCCACAAAGTGGAATCCACGACATGCGAGTGTGGAGAAGAGCAAACCACTGACCACCTGCTGCAATGCAACCTGAGCCCTGCCACATGCACAATGGAGGACCTCCTTGCAGCAACACCAGAGGCACTCCAAGTGGCCAGATACTGGTCAAAGGACATTTAATCAACTACCAAGCTTGCAAATTCTGTGTTTTTTCTGTTTGTTTGTTTGTTTTCGTTAAAAATGTAATACAAATGTCTGGTTGCTGATGACATGATAAATAATAAAAAAATCCTTCCTTCTTTCTTTCCTTCCTTCTTCTCTGCCTCTTTCTCCTTCCCTTCAATCACTTCATCCTTCTTTCCTTCCCTCTTTCTTTCTCTCTCTCTCTCCTTCCTTCCCTTTTTCTTTCCTCCCTTTCTCCCTTTTCCCTTCCTCCCTTTCATCCTTCTTTCCATTTCCTTCCTCCTTCCCTTCCTTCTTTCCATCCTTCCCTTCCACCCTTTCTTCCTTTCCTCCCTTTTGTCTTTGCTTCCTTTTTCTTTCTCCTCCTTCCTCCTTCTTTCTCTTCCACCCTTTGTCCTTCCTTCCTTCCGTTTCCTCCCTCTCTCCTCTTTAACCCTTCCCTTTTGCCTTCCCTTCCTTCTCTTTCTTTATCCTTCTCTTCCTTCCTTTCATCCTTCTCTTCACTTCTTTGTCACTTTGTGGAGTTGAGCTAAATAGGCTGCTGGTTAAAAGGTGCTGAGAGCTGTCAGGAAAGCTCTGTCCTTTCCTTCCTTCCTTCCTTCCTTCCTTCCTATCTACTTTCTGCACTCTCTCCTTCCTTTCTTCCTCCCTGCCTCCCTTCCTCTTCTCCTTCCTTCCTTCCTTCCTTCCTTCCTTCCTTCCTTCCTTCCTTCCTTCCTTCCTTCCTTCCTTCCTTCCTTCTCTTTCCTTCCTCTTTCCCTTGCTTCCTTCTGTCACTGGGAAGCCAGTCCTCCTAGGAGGGAGTGTTAGCATATGGCCCCCAAAGTTAGAAAGTTTGCCCAGGCCTGGTCTAGATGCTGAAACTGATCTTCTGGATTCTTTCTTGCACAGCAGTTGCAACTGCTCACTTTTCCTGCTGGGTCCAGTGCTGGCTGTAGTGCAGACCTAGCAGCACCTGAGCACCCAAATACACACACAAACGCACCCTTCTGCCTTTTCGTCCATCGGTGCAGACTTCGGGACAAATTTTTGCCAGTGTGCAGCGGCTTCTTTCCTTCGGCCCAACTTCCAGAGAGTGTGCACAAAGTACCAGTTTGCACTGGGACTATCTAGAAAAGGCACAAAGGGAAACACAGTTAGACAAATCAGGAACCTACAAAACTGCTTTCCATGGATCCTAAAAGCATGCATGAGTTGACGAATGAATTCCCAAGAGAGAGGAGCTGCAACCAAGTCCAGGCTGCATTTCCTCCACCGCTGTGGCAATGAGTACTGAATCCATACACACGCTGCTCCCCTCCTTAGTTACTAGCATTACTGGAACAATGAACCAATCAACAAAATCCCAGGCTGCTCATACCTGGACAGACGTGCAAGCTGTGCTGAAAATCCATCAAGGCCTCTTTGTCTCTCCCCAGCTCCAGAAACTGGACCCCTCGTCCAGTCAAGGCCAACTGCCTGATTTGGGAGAGAGTCTTCATTTCTGAGAGCCTCAGCTTTTCCCATTCATCTTCTGCACTGCTGTTGCAGGCAGCATCTGGCAAAGAAAGCACACGTCTCATAGAATCATAGAATCAAAGAGTTGGAAGAGACCTCATGGGCCACCATCCAGTCCAACCGCATTCTGCTAAGAAGCAGGAATATTGCATTCAAATCACCCCTGACAGATGGCCACCCAGCCTCTGTTTAAAAGCTTCCAAAGAAGGAGCCTCCACCACAGTCCGGGGCAGAGAGTTCCACTGCTGAACAGCTCTCACAGTCTCCTGTTGCGTAACACTCCCCCAGGCCCCAAGCAAACAGAATCAACCATTTCTTTTTTTCTGGGCAACAGTTTGTCAGAGGAAGGAATGCTAGATCAAGCAGACACTGAGTTGCAAAATAAGGACTCTGCAGGCTTTGAGTTACAAAAGAAACTAAGTTTACTAAGTACATACATCAGACACGTCTTTCTACAGTGAGCTACAATTCAGGAAGAAAACAAAGAACTAGTCAAAACCGAAAACCTCTTCACATCTGCTTATCTTCTCTTGCTGAGACTGGCAACTCCCTTCTGTTCTCAGCAAGAACAAACCTTATCTTACTTTTTCAAGTTCACTTAATCACAGCCTCAAAGTGTAAACATTTCTGCATGGCATTTTCAATTCACAGTGGCCTCCATCTTGGAAATACAGAGAAGCACATTGAAAAACACATACATAACTAAATTAATCCTGACACAGTCATAGTTCTGCGAAGCTCCGGGAAAGGGCCCTCTGCAAATGCCAGAAACCATTCCAGGAAAAAAAAATCCACCAAAATTGACTCTTACCTGAACTCACGAAATGGATTCTCAGGAGATCGTCAAGTGACCTATTAGGGGGGAAAGGAAAGTGGAATCATTTGCCTCCTTCTGAAGTTTATCCTTGTCTTCCACTGAGAGAGTGTGACTTGAACAAGATCACCCAGTTGGTTTCCATGGCTGAGAGGAGACTGGACACTAGCTTCCCAAAGAAACATGGGAAATGTTTATTAAACTGCGAAAACTTTCTTTGCAGTCTACACATCGAGAAAGGTTAAAAATGGCATGTTTTCATTAAGGAAAATTACAAACGAAGTGTCTAGATGAGGTATGGGCAAACTTGAGCCCTCCAGGTGTTTTGGACTTCAAGTCCCACCATTCCTAAGAGCCTCAGGCCCTTTCCTTTTCCCCCTCAGCCGCTTAAGGGAAGGGGCCTGAGGCTCTTAGGAATGGTGGGACTTGAAGTCCAAAACACCTGGAGAGCCCAAGTTTGCCCATGTCTGACCTAACTGGTGTCACAAACTGGGATCCCTAGGCCTCAAGTTACCTGCTGAAGTGGTTGATGGCCTCCTTGGTCTCTCCTAACCTGCCACAGGCCCAGCCCTGGATCACACGGGCGGCTGCTCGCCAAAGGATGCAGCAGAGGCTCTCCCGTCTTTGTTCCTGAACAATGCCAGGAGATTTTGCCCACAGAATGTCCTCGTCACCATTCAAGCCTGGTCCAAGTCGCAGCTTCTTGGGTACCAGCACACTTGTCCGGGCGACAACCTCCTCGCACACCACAATGGCGTCTTCGTGCCTAGCCAGCTCCTCCAGTGCAGAAGCCGCTTCCAAGAAGACCTCAGGAATCCTGGGGAAGGCTGGCCCCTTATTTTGGCACACCTGAGAGAAAGCCCCCCACAAAAGGTCAGAACACACTGCGCTTGCGATAGTTGCCAATGCAAAGCAATTGTCACAAAGTCCATTGAAGATGGGAGCAATAAGAGGAATCTGGCAGGAGAGGAGCTCCTCCCGTCACAGGCCTAAGGCCATCATCAGTCATTGAGGGGCATGAGCCAGGCTGGCCACACAAAAACGCTGCAATCCAGTGTCCCCCATTCCAAAAATAATCTATGTTTGGGTTGCTGTGAGTTTTCCAGGCTGTATGGCCTTGTTCCAGATCCATTCTCTCCTGACTATGATTCAGAGACATGTATTTATTTATTTACTACATTTATATACCGCTTTTCTCCCCCTGAGGTAACTCAAAGCGGTTTCCAACATTATAAAGGCAAAATTCAATGCTGTACATATATGTGAAAACCAAAAGATAATAGCAAGACAATAACTATAAATCAACCTAACCAAATCTATATAAATAAAAATGTAATGTTCGTTTGTGGGATTAACAGAACTCAAAAACCACTGGAATTGGCACCAAATTTGGACAGCATACACCTAACAACCCAGTGTATGTCCTTCACTCAAAAAATGTTGATTTTGTCATTTGGGAGTTGTAGTTGCTGGGATTTATAGTACACCTACAATCAAAGAGCATTCTGAACTCCACCAATGATGGAATTGAACCAAACGTGGCATAATAATAATAATATAAATAATAAACTTTATTTATACCCCGCTACCATCTCCCAAGGGACTCGGTGCGGCTTACATGAGGCCAAGCCCACAATACATCAATGCATACAATAACAACCACAATACAAAGCAAAATACAAATGCTAAAACAAAGCAATTAACAATAAAACTCATACATAAATTACATAAACATGGAACAATAGCACAAAACACATTTAAAATCTATGGCTGGGCCAAATGTAATTAAAGTTAAAAAATAATGCTGGGCATGAACAAGATAGAGGAGGAAGGGCGTTGGTGGAAACGTACAAGGAATCTTAAACCAGTATAAAGTGCTTTTAGAGGACATAATGCCAAGAGTTCATTATTCTGGGAAGGCACACTGGAACAACCACGCATACAAGACTCCTACGACCAACAGAAAAGACTAGAAGGGTTTGGTGGGCATTGACCTTGAATTTGGGAGTTATAGTTCACCTACATCCAGAGAGCACTGTGGACTCAAACAATGATGGATCTGGACCAAACTTGGCACAAATATTCCATATGCCCAAATATGAACACAGATGGAGTTTGGGGAAATAAACCTTGACATTTGGGATTTGTAGTTACTGGGATTTATAATCCACCTACAATCAAAGAGCATTCTGAATTCCACAAATGACAGAATTGGGGCAAATCACAAATAAATAAAGATAGATAGATATGATTCACACACACATAGTATCATAGATGTTAAAGGGACCCCTACAGAAGGATAATGATATGTTGCATGTTTCAGAGAAGGCAAATCAGACAATCTCCACGTCAACACTGGCAAAGAAACAGCAAGAAATACTGTTTACCCACAAGCAGAAAGACATTACATAGATTAGAAACCAACACTTTCTCATTATTTATTTTCCAGATCATCAGACTGGGCTACTGCAATGTGTGGCAGAGGACAGCTAGTTAAAACATAAACATAACATTTAGACATAAAAGATTAAAAATTAAACATCGATAATACAATAACATTTATATTAAAACCCACTGATAAACAACACGATTTAAAAAGAGTTATTAAAATCATGCCATCCATAGCAGTGTTCATCTGAAAGAGCCGTACGCAGAGATCTTGTGGCACCTTTGAGAGTCATTGAGAGAAAGAGGTTTTTGTAGATTAAAGACTTTATTGCACCACGGGGGCAAACCGGCATTGAAGGAAGACCAACGTTCTGTAGCAGAGCAATGTCTGCCTCCTCCCCATGGCTAACCTGCTCCTCATGACTGATGGGCAAAACTCATTAATAATTTCCAAGTTTCTGTTACCTACCTTGTTTGTATGTGAATGCTTTTATGTTAAGCTACTTTGAGTCTCCTTCAGGAGCAATAAAGCAGGGTATAAATAAATATAATAATAGTAACAACAACAACAATATTAATGGTGATAAAATCCTTAGTCTATTTCATCAGATCAAGAAAGAAAATGCCTGGACACAGACTTTCAAAGCTGTGAATGAGCAGGTTCATATTTATCTTCTTACTTCAGCTTTAGGCAGTATCATTTCCCACACTTTAGTTCCCCAAATGAACTTGTCACCTCATCACCATACCCACAAGTTTTGCATTTCTCTTGATATTTGCACACACTACCTGCTCATTCACAATTCCTACCTGTCCTGATGCTTAAAGTCTTTCATCTTTGGTGTCTGTTGCACCACGTTTTCATGAGTTATGTTCTCATTTTAATTTGCAGTTACCCCAGTGATTCGTCTTCTTGAGACTAGGAAAGCACAAGAACAAGTTGCTGGTTTTTGGATTAAGCTGCAGGAAGGGACCTACCTGGGGAAGGGGCCCTTCCTGTAGCATAGCCAAGAGGTCCAGGTAATGCTCCGCTGCTTCACCTGTCCTGCGAGAGAAAGGAGAAGTCAATAGGAGTCACAAGGAGACACCAGGGACCTTGCACTGATGAAGCACAGACCCTTCTTTGGTTCCCTCTTGATGGAAGGACAGGCAACTGAAACCCAACTTAAAAGTTCTGCAAAAACAAGAAAAGGATAGTGGCCTGAGTGTTGGAGTAGGATTCTGGAAGACCAGGGTTCAAATCCCACAACTCAGAAACCATAATTAATGCACTTTCTAATTCTGGGAAGAAGTCCATGGCAAACCATTTCAGAAAAAAAAAATCTTGCCAAGGAAACCCTTGACTTGAAGGCATTGTTAGCATAGGTGCCAATATGCTGTATTGGCTTCAGTGTTGACTCAGACTTGGGGAGATCAGGGTTAACATTCCCAATTAGAATAGCAAGTCACACTCTCTGCCAGCCTCACAGGAAGGCAAGGGTAAGCATTCCCTGTGTTGTACTGAGGATTTTTCTGAATGTTCAGAGGATGAAAAGGATGATGGGTTCCAAAATGAGGGGTCTGTGAGTGTTCAGAGGGAATTGCAGACAGATCAGGCTGACCAGGCTGATGTTTGGAATTCTTAAATTGAGTGGTTTGGCTTCAAGCATCTCAGAGGAGACAACGATGCTTTTGGGAATCTATCTACTGTTCATGTTTCCAATTTCCTGGTTCCTGTATTATCAATATTCTTGTTTTATGTTCCTGTCTATGCTTATGTACTTTTGGAAAGTTTACCTGGGAGAGATTCCTGAGTTCATGTTCATGAAAAAAAAACTTGGATTAATTCTTTGTTTTTGGATTACTTGGTTCTGATTACGTGTAGTTTAATTTATTGATGTCACGTTTAATGTACAGATGTTAGGTCTTAATGTTACTTTTAATGTTACTTTTATGTGTGGGGATTTTCTGGGATTTTATGGTAGTATCATGTGTTTTATGTAGGCATTGAATGTTTGCCATTGTTTGCTATTGTTATGCTGGAATTGGTCCTGAGTTCCCTCGGGGAGAAAGAGCGGAATACAAACAAACAAACAATTATTATTATTATGATCTATGATTTATTATTATTATTATTATTATTATTATTATTATTATTATTATTATGGGATTTTTCCTGGCATTACTGGATTACTGTGGAGACCAAAATCCGCTGATTGTGGTAATATGAAAATAACGAACTTAACTCAATATATATATTACAAATACACATATCAAAAAAACTGCCACATTCACATTAAGTAGAAACAACTGGTTCTTCTCTTTTTTCTTTTAGGTATTACTGGATTACTGCTATTGAACTCTGGCTTATTTTGTGTATTGAATTTTATATCCTGCCTTTTTTTGGATTTGCCCCCTTTCCCCTTTTTATATCATTTCTTCAATAAACATTTTATGACTGGATCACTGGCCTTTGGTGTGGTGCTGGGTGAAAGGGTGTCTCAGTGCTAGGGGACAACACCCTGAATGATAAATCTGGCCAAGATAAGGTTCTGTACGATCATCCTGTCAGGAGCAAAAGCACACAACAACTTCACCGCAGATTGAGAGTCAAACCAGTCATTGGGGTCACTCCAAACATCACAAAGGATGAGTGAGGGGGCACTCACCTCCCTGCCTGGAGGCACCTCTGTGCCAAGAGGTATTTCACTCCTGCAGGACACTTCTGGGCAAAGAATGGAGTCTGCTGGGCTGAACGGGTGAGGCGCTCTGTTCTGATTAGGAAGTGTGGAGCCACAGACACAGAGGTCACCTCCATGGGGCCATCCAGAGCCTGGAGAAGAGAAGATGTGGGGAAATGGACCTATGAGCCAATGAAACATTGCTCCTTTGCAAGCACGAGAGCAAAAGCAGAGAAGGATCTTGGTCATCTCCTTGTGGACCCTTCTCCCAAGATGCTTCTGGATCCTGATGGGGACAGAGATCCAGAACCCATGGCTGCTGCTTCTCACTTGATACCAACTGTCTGGACAGCGCTCCCCAACTAGAGTTTGGAGTCATCTAAGAAGAAGCCAGGCAGGGCACTCTTTTCTCTTTCCACTCCAGGGAAAAGGAGTCGGAATTTTAGTGCTGCCTTCACCCCAGAGGGGAAGGCAGCCCTTTGACTTACCTGATAAAGCAAGGCCAAGGACTCCAGCTCTGCTTCCAGGATCCCCAACTGGCGGTACAACAAGGCGGCTTGATGCAAGGCAGGAAGGAAGGTGAAGTCCACCTGGAGGGCTCTCCTCAGGTGCTGCATAGCCACCTGCGGTCTGCCCTGGACAGAAGAGAAGCAAGGCAGGAGGAAAAGAAGTGGGTTTCAGGGAAAGCATGCTTGCCATTACGAGGGATCTCCCAGGAGATTCTATTAGCACCCAATATACACAAAGGCTTGACAGAACACCCTGAATTGTCTGCTTCTCCCTAGCTATGCTGCTTAACTGGAATATTGGTAAATATATTTTATTATCCACCTATACCAATCTCTTTTTTTAAAATTACATTCTGACACACCTTTGTCCTGTCTGCACCTCCTTTCTGCCCTGCCTTCACCTGCCAAGCCACCTCGTGATCACCCTGCATGCACATGCAGACAAGGAACTCCTACCAGCGTTAAGTTGCAGCATCCCATTAAGGTGAATGTCTGGGCGAGGACTCGCTTAGAAGACAGCCCAGTTCCAGCAGCTTTGAAAAAAGCAAGAGCAGCAGTACTGTTACCAGCTTCCAGTTGCTGAATACCTGAAAAAAAGAGAGGAAATCCTGAAAGGGGCCATCACAAGTCAGCCTTTGAAGACTGTTCGGAGACTTCAACTAGTCCAACAGGCAGCAGCCAGATTACGCCCTACAGGGAGCACACCACCCCCCTGCTGCGTCAGCTCCACTGGCTGCCGGTCCACCTCCGAGCACAATTCAAAGTGCTGGTCTTGGCCTATAAAACCCTATACGACTCCGGCCCAGATTACTTATCCGAACGTATCTCTCTCTCTACGTTCCACCTCGTAATTTAAGATCTACTGGGGAGACCCTGCTCTCGGTCCCACCGGCGTATGGTGGGGACGAGGGACAGGGCCTTCTCAGTGGTGGCCCCCCGCTTGTGGAATTCGTTCCCCAGCAAGATTAGATCTGCGTCCTCCCTCCTTACTTTTAGGAAAAAACCAAAGTCGTGGTTTTGGAGCCAGGCCTTCGGCTAGTGGACATAGCAATACTTTAGATACTGAACCCGGACCATAGGATTGTTATGTGACTTTGATTAGGCGACTATGTTAGTATTCAAGTATATGATTTTAATTAGTTACTATTTTAATTTGCTATGTATTTGATTTAACATTGTTGTATTGATATTATGGCATTTAATTGTTGTCCATGTTAGCCGCCCTGAGTCCCCCCACCACCACCACCACTCCCCCGGGGGTGAGAAGGGCGGGGTAGAATTGGTGTAAATAAAATAAATAATAAAAAAGGTCTCTCGAGCATGAGGAGAGAGGGTGAGCTTCAGGCAAGGTCTTGTGACCTCCTAACAACAGCAAAGGATTAGAGGCAGAGGTGGGCAATTTCTGTGGGGTGACCAAGTGCTGCTGGGAGAAAAGCACTCTTGGTAGCTGCTTCTCACAACACAGAATCTGTCTCTTCAAGACTTCACAAAGCTACAGAATCAAGTAAGAACCAGACAACAACGGAAGGACCTTGGTATAGCACACCCTGAAGAATAGAATGTGGTCTCACACATAATGTGTGGTATTTCATCTGGAAGTAGTAATAATAATAACAATAATAACAATAATAATAACAATAATAATAATAAACTTTATTTGTACCCCACCACCATCTCCCCAAGGGGGTTTGGGGCGGCTTACATGAGGCCAAGCCCAACAATATAGCAATGCAAATAAACAACATAAAACAACAGTTAAATATAAATATAAAATACAAGAAACAATATACCGCATATACTCAACTATAAGCCGACCCATATATAAGCCGAGGCACCTAATTCTACCACAAGAAACTGGGAAAACAGATTGACTCGAGTATAAGCTGAAGGTGGGAAATGCAGCAGCTACTGGTAAATTCCAAAATAAAAATAGATACCAATAAAATAGCATTAACTGAGGCACTGGTAGGTTAAATGTATTTGAATAAAACTGTAAGTTAAGGCTGTCCTCTGATTAAAGCATTATTCTAACCTTCTTCGGTGTAAATGTGTTTACATATCCTTCCAATAATAATGAGTAAAATAATAAATCTGGTAACCACAAGAACATCTGGTAACTCTCGCTCCATGTATTGCTGGAGTCCTTCCGTACAGTGGCCCTTATTTCTCATGCCAGTAAGGTAATGCTCAAGATCCTGCAAGGAAGACTCCAGCAATACATGGAGCGAGAGTTGCCAGATGTTCAAGCTGGGTTTAGAAAAGGTAGAGGAACGAGAGACCAAATCGCCAATATCCGCTGGATAATGGAGAAAGGCAGGGAGTTTCAGAAAAACATCTACTTCTGCTTCATTGACTATTCTAAAGCCTTTGACTGTGTGGATCATAATAAATTGTGGCAAGTTCTTGGTGGGATGGGCATCCCAAGCCACCTTGTCTCTCTCCTGAGGAATCTGTATAAGGACCAAGTAGCAACAGTAAGAACTGACCATGGAACAACAGACTGGTTCAAGATTGGGAAAGGCATATGGCAGGGTTGTATACTCTCACCCAACCTATTCAACTTGTATGCAGAACACATCATGCGAGTGCGGGGCTTGATGAATGCAAAGCTGGGGTGAAAATTGCTGGAAGAAACATTAACAACCGCAGATATGCAGAGGACACCACTCTGATGGCCGAAAGCGAGGAGGAGCTGAGGAGCCTTCTAATCAAGGTGAAAGAAGAAAGCGCAAAAGCCGGGTTGCAGCTAAACGTCAAAAAAACCAAGATTATGGCAACAAGAATGATTGACAACTGGAAAATAGAGGGAGAAACCGTGAAGGCCGTGACAGACTTTGTATTTCTAGGTGCAAAGATTACTGCAGATGCAGACTGTAGCCAGGAAATCAGAAGACGCTTACTTCTTTTAAGACTGTAAAAATCATGAGGGATTATGTGGGTCCTCCCTCCGGTTGCGGTGGGTGCCCTTCAATGCCACAGCCAATTTGGATTCTTTTGCCCAGCCTGGGCCTTGACATGGAATAACACTCTGGAAAGCAGAACATTCACAGGAGAAGAGCTAATGGAAGCCAAAAGCAAACAGAGGAAGGATACTACCAGCTCTACCTTGCAAGAAGGCAGCTGAAGTCCACAGAATCTCTTTCAGGTCTCGCACGCTCTGTGCCACAAGGGGACTATTTTCCTCTGTATCGTACGGACACCACGTCTGGAGCAGAGAAAGCAGCTCATTTTGATGACCAGGACAAGGAGAAGGCCTCAGATCCTGGGAAAGGAATGCAAATGCCTGAAGGTGAAGACTCCCTTGACATGTCAAAGGTGAACTAATTTCGTGGGCTCTTCTAGACCCCACTATTTATTTATCGTGTCAGGAGCAGACCAAACAGTTGCATTGCATTTTTTAACAAACAAACAGAACACAAAGTTTGCAAGTTTGGTAGTTGATTAAATGTCGTTTGACCAGTAGCTGGCCACTTGGAGTGCCTCTGGTGTTGCTGCAAGATCACACTGTACTATCAGAACTCCGAAATGCAAAGGGTTAGAGGAAAGGTTGAAAAAGAGGATGCTGTCCACCTTGTATTAAACCAAGACTAGTAGATAGCAATTGGAATTGGGCACACAGGTAGAACCATCCCACCTCCCTTCAAAGTGATGTGTGATGCAAACACAACCAATGCAATTTTTGATTGAAGTACGTTGCAAAGACAGCAAGCCCACAACTTCTTCTGGGGAACCAAGAAGTTGCCTCCATGCTGAAATAGACCCTGAGGAATCGATCTGAGAATTTTAAATGTACATTTTATTTGTATTGCTGTTTTCATCTCTATTCTATTTTTTATAAAGCAGTATGTATTCTATAGTATTTGTTTTATCAATGTATTTGTATTATTTATTTATTTTATTTATTTACATCTTTTATATTCCTCCCTTCTCACCCCGCAGGGACTCAGGGTGGATTACAGTGTACACATATATGGCAAACACTCAATGCCACTTTTTGACATACAACGTATACAGACATACACAGAGGCTATTTAACTTTTTCTGGCCACCAGGGGAGCTGTCACTTTCATCATCCATCTGCGACGCTGATGAAGCACTTCCGCATTCTTCGCATGTTTCCCCGCTGGAATGCTCTGCTGGAGTCTTCTTTATGGCCTCATAAATCAGTTAATTTAGCCCCCCACACACACACACTTTAAGGTGGTACCTAATTTTCGTACCTCACAGATGCAACTGCCTTTCGGGTTGCAAAGGTCGACAACAGGCTACACATAATTGGTTGGAAACCCACTCCAACCCGGGCTGGCTTCGAACTCATGACCTTTTGGTCAGAGTGATCTTAATGCAGCTGACACTCAGCCAGCTGTGCCACAATCCTGGTGTACTTGGCTTTGAGGCATGAAGAAAGGCACATAAAAATAAAATATTGCTGCTACTGTCATGGTTATTATTATTTTACTATTATTACTACTGTTGTTATCTAGTCCAGCATTGCCAACTCTGACTTGCAGCCATGGCGTTCCAGAGTTTCAGGATAGTTCTCTTCCCAGCCCTAGATGAAGATCACTAGTATTCCCTGCTGATAGTTTCTAATCCTGTTGAATTATGACATTATTCATAAATGACAAAAATAGACAAGGTGTGGTGGTTCTCACCAATAATACTGATCTGGAACAGGCTAGCAGTCCAATATAACACTGCAAGTCTTCTGCTCATCTGATATGGTAGTAGAAAGTGGCCAGGATTCCCCTAGAAAGACGAGGGAATCCAGTGCCTTCATGGGAGTGTTATGCAGAGCTAGACAGAGCCATTTTACCTTAGAACTGGTCAGGATGCGTAAAAGGTCTTCCACAGCTTCTAGACGGTTTGTAGCCAGCCAAAGAGCGGCCTGCAAGGCAGCCAATCGGTGCAGAGCGGCCTGGAGCTCCTTGGAGGCCCCTTCCTGAAGGAGCTTCTTCCAGCGTCCCTCTGAGCAAATGCTGTGGTCAGGGACAGAAGAAGCCTCCAGCACTAGCAGAAACAGATGAAAGGAAGGAAACAAGGGAAACAAGGGAAGGAAGGAAGGAAGGAAGGAAGGAAGGAAGGAAGGAAGGAAGGAAGGAAGGAAGGAAGGAAGGAAGGAAGGAAAGAAAAGTGGTGCTTAGTCTTTATATTTTCCACAAAGCGGCGAGTATGGTGGCTGGCTTGCATAAGGAAAGGCCAAGTGAGAAGAAGACTGTCAATACAGAGTATCCACTTTGCCACACAACCACAATTCTATCAGAGGTATCTCAGAACAGCAAGGCAAGGAAACACATCAATCACATTCTCCTTTAGGCTATAAACTAATTTATTGTACAACTCTTTACATTAGAAGTTAAGCACATTGTAAAACTGCTTCCTCTCCATCCGGCAGCTACATCGTGAACTCAGAACACGCTGCTATCAGCATTAGTCCACACCTCCTGCATTCCAGAGTGACGTATGACATACGATGCACTATGCTGCTGCGTCCATTGCTCTCTGTACCTCTCTAGGCATGCCAATTCTCTTCATGGTTCAGTTAACCCTTTCCACACAGGAATTACACTCGGCACATAGCACTGCATTTTTAAACATACATACACACTTTGAAATCTACATTATACATTTAAAAGCACATCAACAAATCCACTCTATGAAGCCTATATTACCTTGGTAGGAGTTGGAATATTCCCCTCGCCCCGTTCCCTTCATGTTAAATAAGGAGAAAATGGGTTTTAGAATCTGAAATTGCTTAAATGTGCCAATACTTTTAAATAACAACAACATTTGTTTTGCCACAGATCCCAGTGCAAAGAACTTGGGAAGAACTATGCAGATTTATCTCTTAACTGGAGCCACTTCTAGAGGCCCAGTCACAGAGAAGCACTTTCCCACAGCCATGATGAAACAAAGAAATGAAAATAAAGTAAAAGTAGGTTGGAGAACTGGTTCTTAAACCTACCATTGTTACAATGTCCACAGCAATGTGTCTGAAATGTGAGACAACAAATTCCCCACTGGGAAAACATAAAGCCTCAGGAGTTACCAAATCGTTTTCCTTACCTCTGATAAGTCCATGGTCTATTCCTGCCAAGAGTTCCTCATCAGAGCTGCTGGTCAGATGGATATCGAAGAGAAGGGAATTGTAGAGGATGGTCAGCTCTAGTGGAAGAGCTGGAAGGACAGCTGGAAGCCCTGCAAGGATGGAGACCAAGCAGAGAAGGACCCAAGTCACATCTCAGAGCCCAGACAATGAGGAAGCCTCTCCGCGCAGACAGGTCCCGCTATTCAAAATGAAGACTTCAGGAAACTTGAAGTCTCCCTGATTAGGAAGGCACTTGGTTGAAGAACTCTTGGGAATGGAGACAGAACTGAAGCAGAAGTGAGCTGGTGTTTTTTGAAGGTAACTTCTTCCAAGTGCTTTGAATGCGATTTTCAATGTGGTCTCTTCCAACACTATGATTCTGTAAGTCAGTAATATTTTGGTCCCATGGAATTTTAGAGTTGGAAAGGCACAATACATTGATGTGAATAAAGTATTTATTTATTTATTTACTGTATTTATATACCGCCCTTCTCAGCCCGGAGGCGACTCAAGCCGGTTTACAATCAGCAGAATTTGATGCCCCCAACAGCACAAAACACAATTAAAACATTCAGCATAAATATAATACCATACAAAGTAATTACATTTCATCATAATCCTCACAGGCAGACATGATTAACAGATCAGAATGACAGATTGGAGACTGCTCAGATTTAGCCTGTTAATGGCAAAACGTTACACTATGTAACAAAATTTGGAAAATGTTCTGTTCCTGACTTAAAAGTCTTATTTCCTGTTTAATTATCTTGTCCTTACTTTGAAAGTAGTTGCTCTACTACACAGAAACTTCCGTTTTTGTGGTTGGCACAAGCTAGGTTGAATTGGTTGAGACTCTATGGGACAGCAGCTAAAATCCTGACTTTGGCATTAGCAGATTGATAGTAACCTGTTATAGACTAAGAGTTATTTGACCACTACGTTCTGGACTGAATTGTTTTATATGTATTTTAGAATTTATTTATTGTCTGTTGTTTCATTATGTTATTTACTGTATTGTATTGAATTGTGCTGTTAGCCGTTCTGAGTCCCTCCAACAGAGGTAGAGAAGAACGAGATATAAAAGTTCTAAATAAATAAATAAATAAATAAATAATATTCACTGAAAAACTATAGCAAAATGTGCTGCACAATGTACCACAAAAACATTTTTTTTTTGCAGTTTAATAAACCTTTTCCATGTTTTTATGATATAACCAATTAAGAAATGACATTTATAATCCAGGAACAAAATCTGTTTTACATACATATACACAATGACACCAGCTGTTAGGAATTGTGGGAGTTGAAGTCCAAAACACCTGGAAGGCGGGCCGAAGTTTGCCCATGCCTGCTGTAGTGGGTGAAGAGAGAGAATCCCACAAAACACAAGCAAAACATTCCACCACAGAGGGTTTCAGTGATTCCTTAGACACATTACATCAAAAGGAAGTACCAAAATAAGCCATATGGTTCCCTAGGACACCTTTATGCCACCTGCTCCCACTAAAATTTTTTGGCCTACCTTGGATTTTCTGCAGTAACTTGGTGAAGGCGAGTAGGCATTGCTGAGCTGTTTCTGCCACTGAGCAGCCAGGGCCTGGAGACTTTGTCGCCTGCCAAGGAGAAAGGATAACGCAGCTTGAAAGGAACAGAAGCTGTATCAGGGCCATCCTGATACAGGGAGATAAACATGCAATCACAATTATTTATTCCTTATGGATAACTTGGCTGAAATGACTAAGGACATGGTACAGGGGACTCCCACAATACAAAGCACCATTCACTACAAAGCGTGTGCATATGTGCATGCTGCATGGTAATTATGTTATTTTAAAATACTGATATCTGTATGATTATTATTGGGTTGCGGTGTGTTTTTCTGGCTTTATGGCCATGTTGCAATAGCATTCTTTCCTGACATTTCACCTGCATTTGTGACTGGCATCCTCAGAGGTTGTAAATGAAGTAAGTAGAGTGTATATGTATATCTGTGGACTGTCCAGGATGGGGGAAAGGGTCCTTGTCGGTTTGAAGCAAGTGTCCATGTTGCAATTGGCAAGTTTGAGTAGCATTAAGTAGCTTTGCAGTTGGAATGTCAATTAGTGTCTGCACAGAAGTAGCCTGGCCTCTGTTGTGTGAAGGCATCCTGTTTGGGAGGTGTTACCTGGCACTTGATTGTTTGCTGTCTGGAGTTCTTCTGTTCCTGAGTGGTGTTCTTTATTAACTGTCTTGATTCTGGTGTTTTTTAATACTGGTAGCCAGATTTTGTTTATTTTCATGCTTTCCTCCTTTCTGTTGAAATTGTCCACATGTTTGTGGATTTCAATGACTTCTCTGTGTAGCTTGACATGGTGGTTGTTAGAATGGTCCAGCATTTCTATGCATTTCTCCATGGTCATGTGGCCGGCATGACTGCATGGAATGCCATTACCTTCCCGCTGAAGAGGTACCTATTAATCTTCCTACATTTGCATGTTTTCGAACTGGCAGGTTGGCAGAAACTGGGACTAACAACAGGAGTTCACCTCACTCCACAGATTCGAACCGCCAATCTTCCAGTCAGTACATTCAGCAGCTCAGCAGTTTAACTTCCTGTGCCACCAGGTTAATAATTGAAACACGATTACTATTATATAATATATTATTATCATCATTATTATTATTATTCCGGCCCAGTTTACCTGCCGAATGTGTCTCCCACTACGAACCATCAAGGACCATCAGATCATCCGGGGAGGCCCTGCTCTCGGTCCCACTGCCATCGCAGTCGCGTTTGATAGGGACGAGAAACAGGGCTTTCTCCGTGGTGGCCCCTTGGCTGTGGAACCCCCTCCATAAGGAGGTTAGATCTAACCCCTCCCTCCTGACCTTCCAGAAGAAACTTAAATTCTGGTTATGAGAGAAAGCGTTTGCAGAACAGACTGATTTTACTGGTGAAGATGAGATTTTATTTGACTGCAATTTGGACTGATTTGGAAGTTTTTAACCTGGCAAACTGTTTTAATACATATTTATACCTATTTTTATGTATTTGGCTGTATTTTATCATGTGCTTTATACTTGTCGGCATCAAATTGTTGCCTGTTAGAAGCCGTCCTGAGTCCCTCTTTGGAGGTTGAGAAGGATTGAGGACGGGATATAAATATTCTAAATAAATAAATATTATATATTACTATAATATTATTATGTATTATTATTACTACTATTATTATGCAATACTATTATTACTATTATTATATTATGAATATTATTTTACTGTCACAAAAACACAGTATGTCACAGCAAACGAGATGTAAATGCTGGATTTCGTATCACAAAATCAGAAGTCATACACTTCCCAAGCGTCTAGGACTATGTGATGTATTTTCGAATGATGCGCGCAGATCCAAGTCAGGTGGCTTTTTGCAGCTGTCAGACTGTGATTTTTGTCAATGTTTATGGTTTCCAAATGCTGGCTGAGATCTTTTGGCACGGCACCCAGTGTGCCAATGACCACTGGCACCACCTGGACTGGTTGATGCCAGAGCCTTTGCAATTCAATTTTGAGGTCTTGATAGTGGCTGAGTTTTTCCTGTTGTTTTTCCTCAATGTGACTGTCACCTGGTATGGCAACATTAATAATCCAATTTTTTTTTCTTTTCCACAATTGTGATGTTTGGTGTATTGTGTTCCAAAACTTTGTCAGTCTGGACTTGAAAGTCCCACAGGATTTTTGCATGTTCATTTTCCACGACCTTTGTGGGTTTATGAACCCACCAGTACTTTACTACTGGCAGGCAGTACTTGTGACATAAGTTCCAATGAATCATTTGGGCCATGGAGTTGTGCCTCTCTTTGTAGTCCGTCTGTGCGATTTTTTTGCAGCAGCTGAGGAGATGATGATCCACGGTGTCAGGGAGTGATCAACCCCCCTGTTTAAAGAGCTCCATTGGCTGCCATTCATTTTCTGGTCCCAATTCAAGGTTCATGTCATCACCTATAAAGCCCTGAACGGTTTGGAACCCACCTACCTTTGCAACCGCATCTCCTATCATAAACCTGCATGATCTCTTCAATCTTCTGGAGAGGCTCACCTTTCGCCCCTTCCCCTATCACAGGCACGACTAATGGGTACGAGGAAGAGAGCCTTCTCCACTGTGGCCCCCCGACTTTGGAACTCACTACCAAGTGAGATCAGGCAAGCCCCCACCCTAGCAGCTTTTAAGAAAGAGCTAAAAACTTGGCTTTTCCGATGTGCCTTAAGAGAGTGACCACCCAACCCATTTTTGTAAGTCTCCACCTACAGTTTGTTTACATGATGCACCTTCCCCTGCCCTTAATGAAGCCCAAGTCCCACTGCTCCCCCGTCTCAGATTCCTCTGTTAGAAACACACCTTTTCTACTTCCTATCTCACCCAGGGTTTTAAATGTTTTTAGCATTTTATCTTGCACACTTGGCCCACCCATTGTGACTGCTTTTATTATGTTTTTTTTGTATTGCTTATTTTATTTTTATGTATTATGTATTTGTTGTATTTATTTTCTATTTTCTTGTATATTATTTTGTTGTATCATGTTTTGGGCCCGGCCTCATATTAGCCGCCTCGAGTCCCCACTGGGGAGATGGTGGCGGGGTATAAATAAAGATGATGATGATGATTATTATTATTATGCATCAGCTTCCTTGCACAGTCTGCATTTTGGGCCATCAGCTGCCTTAATGGCATTTGTTCTGATAGCTTGCTCCTGGGCTGCAAGAATCAGGCCCTCTGTTATATATTATTACTATTACTAGCCATCCCCTGCCATGCATTGCTGTGGCCCAGTCTGGTGATCTGGAAAATAAAGTAACGAGAAAGCGTTGGTTTCTAATATATGTAATGTCTTTATGCTTGTGGGTAAACAGTATTCCTTTTTGATTCTATGTCAGTGTTGATTTGGAGATTGTCTGGTTTGCGTACTCTGGAACATGCAACATATAATTGTCCTTCTTTAGGGATCCCTTTCAAATCTATGATACTATATCTGTGTGTGTGTGTGAATCATATCTATCTGTATCTATGGCTGGATGGCTCTTTGTCAGGAGGGCTTTGATTAAGTTTTCTTGCCCTGATGAAGGGAGTTGGACTGGATGGCCTTAAGTATTTTCTGTTGGTCTGTTGGGGTTCTGTGTGGGAAGTTTGCCCGGATTCTGTCGTTTGTGGGGTTCAGAATGCTCTTTGATTGTAGGTGAACTGTGACTCCCAGTAACTACAACTCCCAGATGTCAAGGTCTATTTCCCCCAAACTCCATTTGTGTTCATATTTGGGCATATTGAGTGCTTGTGCCAAGTTTGGTCCAGATCCATCATTGTTTGAGTCCACAGTGCTCTCTGGATGTAGGTGAACTACAGCTCCCAAACTCAAGGTGAATGCCCACCAAACCCTTTTAGTGCTGTCTGTTGATCATGGGAGTCCTGTGTGCCAAGTTTGGTTCAATTCCCTCGTTGACGGAGTTCAGAATGCTCTTTGATTGTAGGTGAACTATAAATCCCTGCAACTACAACTCCAAAATGACAAAATCAATCCTGCCCAACCCAACCAGTATTCAAATTTGGGTGTATTGGGTATTTGTGCCAAATTTCATCCAGTGAAATAAAGTACATCCTGCATATCAGATATTTACATTATGATTCATAACAGCAGTAATATTACACTTATGAAGCAGCAACTAAAATAATTTTATGGTTGGGGGTCACTGCAACATGAGGCATTGTATTAAAGGGTCGCAGCATTAGGAAGGTTGAGAAACACTGGACTAAAAGATAAGATACAGTCATGGTCAGAGAACAATGGACTATAGTTATGTTATAGTTGTGCCATTGTTAGGATCCCACGTGTGCTATAATGTCAATCAAAATCACAAACAACTAATGAACAACTGTATAGATAACTTAGACGAATGAAATGATTTGTCTTTGGGAATCAATGAAAATATATATTCCATTTACTATAAATGCTCTGTAGCCCCATTGGAGGTTGCGACAAACCCTTTGATTGCATCCCTGTATGCTCGTTTGTCGTTATTGCTATAGCCACGCAATAATAGTTTTTTGCAGTTTAAAAGATTCAACTTTCGTGGTGTCCATTCTTGCCCTCCCTATTGGAAAGGGGGCTTCTGCCTTTTGGGAAATATTTTGGTTTAGTTGCCCCTACAACATTAGATAATGTTGACCATTTCCGCTCCTTTGGCAGCCACCTCTCTACCAAAGTCAACATCGACGCCGAAATACAACACCGCCTGAGCTCTGCGAGTGCAGCATTTTCCCAAATGAAGCAGAGAGTGTTTGAGGACCGGGACATCCGTAGGGAGACTGAGAGGCTTGTTTATAAAGCTGTTGTCCTCCCAACCCTGCTATATGCCTGCAAAACGTGGACTGTCTACAGACGTCACATGCAACTCCTGGAACGATTCCATCAGCGCTGCCTCTGGAAAATCCTGCAAATCTCTTGGGAAGACAAGCGGACAAATGTCAGCGTGCTGGAAGAAGCAAAGACCACCAGCATTGAAGCGATGGTCCTCCGCCATCAACTCCGCTGGACCGGCCACGTTGTCCGAATGCCTGACCACCGTCTCCCAAAGCAGTTGCTCTACTCCGAACTCAAGAATGATAAACGGAACGTTGGTGGGCAGGAAAAGAGATTGAAAGATGGGCTCAAAGCCAACCTTAAAAACTCTGGCATAGGCACTGAGAACTGGGAAGCCCTGGCCCTTGACTGCTCTGACTGGAGGTCAGCTGTGACCAGCAATGCTGAAGAATTTGAAGAGGCATGAATGGAGGGTGAAAGAGAGAAACGTGCCTAAGTAAGTAAGTAAATCCCAAAAAGCAACCCCTCCATGATGTCAGACGCCCTCCCAGCTCACCCTCCGCCAGCGCCGGACCAAATCGTCGTTCTCTCCCCGCCAGAGGGTCAAGCAGCTCTCGCCTGAGGCCGCCATTGAGCCAGGAAGCTAGGCCGCACCGTCGCCACGGAAACCAGCCTAGCTCCGCCGCCATTGGCTGGTCTTCTCGCATCCGCGGCTCCTATTGGACGAGAGAGATGGTAGCCACGCCTCCCACGGATAGGCGGCAAAATGGAAGAAGGAAAACAAGCCGCTGAGAAAGACGGAAGTACGGTGGCTCCTTTTGGACAGAAACTCTCCAAAGCAGAGCGCGCTGGTTTCTTTCCAGGCCAGGCGCCGTTTGTGATTGGTCCAGCGGTAGCCACGCCCACTAGAGGGAGCCAATCATATGACCCAGAGCTGATTTGAGCTTTCACAATAAACTTTGGGAGAGTTTGCTTTGGAGGCACATAGAATCATAGAATCAAAGAGTTGGAAGAGACCTCATGGGCCATCCAGTCCAACCCCATTCTGCTAAGAAGCAGGAATATTGCATTCAAATCACCCCTGACAGATGGCCATCCAGCCTCTGCTTAAAAGCTTCCAAAGAAGGAGCCTCCACCACACTCCGGGGCAGAGAGTTCCACTGCTGAACGGCTCTCACAGTCAGGAAGTTCTTCCTCATGTTCAGAATTAATTAATGCAGCCTGGCTCAAAGCTATGTAATCATGGGATTTATAGTTCCCCCAGATCTCTTGCCTTCTCTCTTCTCTGCCAAAAAGTGCTGGTGCCTGAACAAACTACAACTCCCATGACTCCATAGCAAATTGAGCTATGACTGTTAAAGTGGTGTAAAACTGCATTCATTCTACAGTGTAGATGCCCTCTAAGAACTTCCCTTGATATAGACCAAGCCTGGGCAAACTTGGGTCCTCTGGTTGTTTTGGACTTCAACTCCCACAATTCCTAACAGCCTACCTACAAGTTCAACTCTGCCTCTAAAAATAACACTAGAGCAGTTACTGGCACTGCAATACTCTTTCTTTCAAAAGCAAAAACTTGCGTAATCAGAAACCAAGCAATTAGAGGAGGGCTACTGAGGACTGATTTAAGAACAGGGTTAGCCTACAAGTGGGTTAAACTGCTGAGTTGCTGAACTTGCTGATCGAAAGGTCGCAGGTTCGAATCCAGGGAGTGGCGTGAGCTCCCGCTGTTAGCCCATTTCTGCCAACCTAGCAGTTTGAAAACATGCAATAGGTACACCTCCAATAATAATAATAATAACAACTACAACACTTTATTTATATTCCACCCTCTCACCCCGAAGGGGACTCTGGACGGATCACAGTACATATACTTGGTAAACATTCAATGCCGTTTTGTATAGACAATACACAGACAGACAGACAACTGAAGGAGGTGGTTTGTTTTGATTCAGTCTCCAGGTGTTTTTGATGCCATGGAAGGTTGGGCTTGAGACCAGGGGGTGCTGTTGCTCTATCCTCTATGAGAAGAGCCGCCAGGACTTCCTCCTTCCTTTTGGTCGCCCAGCATTTTCTATCTTCTTTCTTTATGGTGTCGTAAAACACCTCCCCCGCTTTTTTAGCGGTACCTAATTTCTCTAATTACAGCTAAAGCTGTTTTTGAATTGTTTAGGTAAACAGTGAGCTAGGATGTCATTTGGCAGCTCACGCCAAACCGGGGTTCGAACTTGCAACCTTTTGATTGATAGATCTTACAATTGCTGACAATTTACCAGCTGTGCTAAACCTCCGGCCCTAAGTGGGAAGGGAGTGGCGCTCCATGCAGTCATGCCAGCCACATGACCTTGGAGATGTCTATGGACAATGCTGGCTCTTCGGCTTAGACATGGAGATGAGCACCAACCCCCAGAGTCAGACACAACTAATGTCGGGGGGAAACCGTTACCTTTACTTATGCCATTCATGTGCCAAAATATGCTGTCTGCAGGATCCCTGGGAGACAGTCACACACCATGCAGCCATTTGGAAGAGGCAAATGCCTCTGGTTTGAACTCTTAAGATAATTCTCAAGACCAGACCCCAAGAAAACAACTGTAGTGAATATAGTGGGACTTGTCGAAACTGGAAGGGTCTTGACAGCATGGGACGGTAAGAGAAACCTCAAGACAGAGGGAAAAATGTCACCAGTTTAATTCCACATCTTCTAGTCATATATATATCCCTACAGTACCCATAACTTAATTTAAATATATATATCCAGCAAATTGAAAGGAAGTCTTCCCCAAAACAACAGTAACAACAGGGGGAAGGGGAAAGAAGGATTATATTTATCGTTGTCTTTAGAAATCAGAAACAAACCAGGGCCTCCTTATTTAAAGATCTTGTTTGTTTTATGGTTTTAGTTTACTATTGCCAACTTTGCATTTTAAGCAATGTTTATTTATATAAATATTGGTGTTTGGATCTGCAATGGCTTCATACAAAAGAAATATTTTAAATAGAACAAAAAACCTCTCAGAAACACCACCAGCAGCAACTTAAATATATTAGATAATGATAAATGCTTTTCTGAACATTTCCTATAGTTAAAAAAGATAGTTTTTTTTTCCCTATTTTTAGCACAAAATAAAAACCAAACCAAAACCAAAATTTAAGGCTTTTACATGACACTGCAAGGTCTGTGTTCATTCACTCTGCATTTTGAAATTTGGCTACAAAAAAGAATGCATCGGGTTGTTATAGGGTTTTTTTTTTGGTTATATGGCCATGTTCTAGAGGCATTCTCACCTGATGTTTCGCCTGCATCTATGGCAAGCATCCACCTCACTACCTTTGAGGATGCTTGCCATAGATGCAGGCGAAACGTCGGGAGAGAATGCCTCTAGAACATGGCCATATAGCCCGAAAAAACCTACAACAACTCAGTGATTCCGGCCATGAAAACCTTTGACAAAGAATGCATTTTCACTGGTTCCAAGGCAAGAAGAATAGCAGCATTATGCTCACTTTTGTGACCCAAGAAACCTGTTAAAAACCAAGAAAATGAGATCAGATGAAGACATAGAAAGAGGAAATTATGTCTCTGCTTTTCTGACCTTCTGTAAGGCAGAACAGAGAAAGCTATGCACGACTTGGCTCACAGGTGCTGAACTTTGCAATGGCCAATTGTCTAAACGCTTGGCTGAATCCACATTTGAAAAGTACAGGCTCCATCTGCTGAACATTGCATGGAAGATGGACAATAATTGCCAAAGGTTGTGATGCCCCACACACTCAGAGCCAAAATGGAACACTTTGGTAAGTGTCACAAAGTGGGCCTGAGGCGTGACAGTGTAGGAACTCCAAAGCCCTGCTCCTGTTCTTCCATTCCTCATTCAGCATAAACAAGGCTAAGCATCAATGTATTGTTGAAGGTTTTCATGGCCAGAATCACTGGGTTGTTGTAGGTTTCTTCGGGCTATATGGCCATGGTCTAGAGGCATTCTCTCCTGACGTTTCGCCTTCATCTATGGCAAGCATCCTCAGAGGTAGGGAGGTTTGTTAGAACTAGGAAAATGGGTTTATATATCTGTGGAATGACCAGGGTGGGACAAAGGACTCTTGTCTGCTGGAGCTAGGTGTGAATGTTTCAACTGACCACCTTGATTAGCATTTGATGGCATGGCAGTTGTTTGGTGTGGCTTGTTGGTGCCTGGGGCAATCTTTTGTTGAGGCTGAAGGGTCCGGACCAGGGGTGCTCAAACTTTTTAAACAGAGGGCCAGGTCATAGTCCCTCAAACTGTTGGAGGGCTGGATTATAATTTTAAAAGAACATGAATGAATTCCTATGCACACTGCACACATCTTATTTGTAGTGCAAAACATTTTAAAGCAATACAATAATTAAAATGAAGACCAATTTTAACAAATATAAACTTATTATTATTTCAATGAGAAGTGTGGACCTTCTTTTGGCTGATGAGATAGGATTGTTGTTGTTTTTGTTGTGTGCTTTCAAGTCATTTCAGACTTAAGTTGACCCTGAGTGAGGACCAGGTAAATGACCTTGGAGGGCCGTATCCAGTCCCCGGGCCTAAGTTTGAGGACCCCTGGTCCAGACCTTCAGTTAAAAGGCCCAGGAAGCAAGTGGAGGGAAAATACTTTTCTCCCTGAGGCCTAGGGCAACCGATAACACCAGAAAGAGCAGAGTTATTAGCTTAGACAGATGGCCAAAGCTTGAATCTGGTTTGTAGCAGCTTCCTTGGTTCTTCTCTGAGCCCAAACCCAATACAGAGAACTACAAGCCTCCCTTGCCCTTTGATTCCTGCCAAAAATTTCTCATGCTTGTTCAGGACAGAGCAGTGTTGATGCTGCAATGGATAGAAATTTCAAGTTTTCATTTCTAGAAGCCCAGTCTAGAAATCTGCATTTGAATGTACAATGGAATACAACTCGGATTTCAGCACTAGAACCTGGGTTTTCTGCTATCGTGTTTCAAAATCTGAATAATGTTTGGATGCAAAGAATCCTTTGCCCAGGTAAGGTATCTTTTACTAACTTGCACAGTGTTAAGAGTTGTATGTCAGGAGCCTTAAACTGTTTCTGGACCGCCAGAATTCTGAGTAAAATACAATCTGTAAAATACCTTCTGAAGTTGGGTTGTTGTAGGTTTTTTCGGGCTATATGGCCATGGTCTAGAGGCATTCTCTTCTGATGTTTCACCTGCATCTATGGCAAGCATCCTCAGAGGTAGTGAGGTATGTTGGAACTAAGAAAAAGGGTTTATATATCTGTGGAATGACCAGGGTGGGACAAAGGCAAGATTCCTGCCTTCTGAAGTTGCCCAAAGCTGACTGCTAAGGGCATCAGGAAGGTTTTTCCAAAGAGTAGGCCATGTGTTGCATTCATCCTATTTATTGGAAAATCACCTTGCCATCAGCTCAGAGACTGACCCAAAGGATGCTCTATTTCCCAACTTGGTTCTGGTGATGGCTTTCCCTTTTGGACATTCCCAGCAGACACACCATGGCTGAAACCCCCAAACTTCTACAAGTAAAAGGGAATGCCTAAGAGAGGCACCCGACACGATGTACCTTCCGCCAAAGACCTGATTATTCCCAGAAACACCATAATGTGAGTCCTTGGTGTCCACTGGGGTTTGGCTCCAGGTCTTCCTGTGGTTACCAAAATCTGTGGATAATCATGGCATACAATGGTGTGCTAAAATGGTGTCCTTAATATAAAATGGCAAAATCAAAGTAGGCTTTTTGGAATATTTTCAAGTCATAGATGGTTGAATCTGTGGATGTAGACTCTCTGGGATGCAGAATATGTGGATATAGAGCGTCGACTATATCCTGAGCCTTTCCTACAAGATTCTCTTGAGAACAGCAGTTTAACCCTTGTGTTTTTTTCCATGTTCAGGCAAGACTCCTGCTTAGCAAGGGGCATTTTAGAGATTCATAAGCTGCAAGGGGCAAGTGAGGTCTGGATGTCTCTCCAGAGTGTAAATGTTCACCTTGCAAAGCACCAGTCCCTGCCCAAATGCAGACTGACCCCTTCCCTTGACCCTCAGTCACATCACTGATAGGGAAAACACACAGACCCCTGATCCAACCTAGCAAGGTCCAGAGGAAGAGTACAAAGGCATCTTGGCAGCACTTCTGTGATCCACAAAACCTTTGGCAGCCCTGACGATGCCTCTTGCAAGGAGTGCCACCTGCCCTGGTGCTACCTTGACTGAGCAAGGATGACGCGCTTGAACCACGCGCTGACCGCACAGTCCACCCGCATCACCAGGCCGATGCCCAGCAGGAGAAAGACGCTGCTCACCACAAAACCCACCGCTTCAAAAAGGAACCTGTAAACACATCAAAATAAGCTGGTGAGGTCCACATCCAGTCCAAGGGTGCAAATGGATAGTTGGGGAGGACGCAAAGGGGGAAGGAACAATGGAGGCTCCAAAGTGGGAGCATGTCCTAAAAAAGGAGTATCAGAGCCCCAAAGAAAGAGTATGACAAGTTTCTGGCCCTTATGTCAATGTAGACAAAACCCGAAGATACTCGGGAAATAGCCAGGGAATCCCCTGGGCCAGAGTGAAGAGAGAGGGGGCCAGAAGACAGTTCCACCTTGTCTCCTGTGAATATGCAAATAATGCTAATAATATGCTAATAATATAATATAATATATTGTATATACATATATTTTAATATTATAATGTAATACAAATAATACTAATGATAATACGATACTATAATTATATGTTTATATTACATGTAATATTACTAACTAGTCATCCCCTGCCGCACGTTGCTGTGGCCCACATGGGGGTTCTGTGTGGGAGGTTTGGCCCAATTCTATCGTTGGTGGGGTT